CATTTGCTACTAAGCAGTGCATTCGTGTTTTTATTTGAAACTTCTGTTTGAATATACTTTTCGTTACCAAGAAAATTAAAAAAAAAAAATGCATATTACATTAAAAATACTGAGTATTTTTTGTATCATGTAGAATTTTTTTTTTGATTGATTGTAATTTTTCAACATTTCGTAACGCCTATTTTAGAACCAAAATAAGGCCTTTCACTCTTCCTCGACGCCTATTCAAGAGATTGTACGGTTTATTGTTTGTTTTGTGCATGTGTTGTGAACAAAAAATGACCACGCCCATTTAGTGATTGCAATATGTACGTAATAGAAACCGCACCCCGAACTTGAGCTTTTGATCCCAATTTTTAAATTGATACATTGTAATATAAACCGCGGTTTATAATAGGACTTTAACGGTAAGTGAACTATATTTCGCCCAGAGTTCGCAAAACGGAATACCCTGCAAAATTGTAATTCTTTATTTTATAACGAGACATTGGGCGCAAAAATAAAAACCATAATTGTATTTCAACAAGTTTCTGTAATGTGTTAGTCCGCTTCCCAGCCGCCTAGTTAAACGCGATCTCCATTGATGGTGGCTTCGACAACTTCGAACAAGATGGGCGCTGGCCAACATTACATTTGCAAGTATTGTATTTGTTTGACAAATTGTACAGTACGGTCATTCTGTAACAATCGATTGGTCGTTTTTTTCACAGTCTTACTATTCCTGCAGATATTCTTTAATTGTTATAGGTGCCACGGATTTACATAACTACAACTTGACCCGTGTTAAACCCAAACCATGAGTGCATGACAACCGTCATCCTACACACGGTTACTCAGCGAATACCGTACTCTACAGTAGACATTTTTCACTCTCCACCAAAAATAGATGGTTTTATTTCATATTAGTTGTGTCTGTGTCAGTGCAATATTTGATTTCACATGTTTGGTTCGATCTTGTTCATGGTTGACATTGTTTCTACACGTATGTATTATTACCAATTTTATATGGCAGTGGCAGTGTGATCCACCGTACATATAAAGGTGACTGGGTATGTAAGCTTTGTAATGATGGAAAGGAGGATGTTTATCACTTTTTATTTCTTTGCAAATCAACTAACCACTTGAGAAGTAAATTCTATTCAGCACTGACCAATACAATAGTGGAAAGTGGTGGAGAACCAACTATTGTACATAGATTTTTCTCAGGAGGAATTAATTTCAAATTTAATTTTCACTTCAGTGATGCTTTATGGGCAATCAATAAGGATTTGGGAAATAATACATCAAACGAAATCTGAAACTTTCTCACCCACCTATGGAAATTCAGAAACGAGAAACTGAATGATTTACATGTATGAATTAATGCTTCTTATAGATGTTTTTTTCTTTTTCTTTTCTTTTCTTTTCTTGTTTTTGTTGACTTGTATGTTACTTTTTACGCCGTTTCAAAGGCTAATAAAATTATTATTATTATTATTATTACATGAAACAATAGTTAATGAACTGTAAATGCAGGCGGTTGCACTGTTAGGCGAGTGAGCGCGTGCACGAGTGGATATTTCCGGATTTGCACAGTCAGAAAAAAAAGCGGAAATTCTCCTGTCGAATTAAACAAAGAGAGCGAAAAAAAAACGATCAAAATCTGGAAGCGGGCGAGAGGTTGGGCGAAATGATTACTGTAGTGTAGCAGTGATCTAAACCAGAGATCATAACATAGTGTAGCAGTGCTCTGAACCAGAGACATACCATAGTGTAGCAGTGATCTCAACCAGAGATCATAACATAGTGTAGCAGTAATCTCAACCAGAGATCATAACATAGTGTAGCAGTGATCTCAACCAGAGATCATAACATAGTGTAGCAGTGATCTCAACCAGAGACATACCATAGTGTAGCAGTGATCTCAACCAGAGATCATAACATAGTGTAGCAGTGCTCTGAACCAGAGACATACCATAGTGTAGCAGTGATCTCAACCAGAGATCATAACATAGTGTAGCAGTGATCTGAACCAGAGATCATAACATAGTGTAGCAGTGATCTGAACCAGAGATCATAACATAGTGTAGCAGTGATCTGAACCAGAGATCATAACATAGTGTAGCAGTGATCGCAACCAAAACACCATAAACAGATTGGAAAACGAGGACTCTCCATATCATATTGGAATGTACAGAGTATAAGACAAAAAATAGAAGATAATGACTTCATAAAATGCATAGAAAACCATGATATAATAGGTCTAGGGGAAACCTGGCTGAACAAGGACTCTCTGAATACACTCAACATACCAGGATACTACAGTCACTCAATAATAAGAAGTAAACAACCAGGTGGAGGACTATCAATACTAATAAACGAACAAACCAAGAAAGGTATCAAAATTGAAGATGTAGACTCTGAAGACATGCTTTGATGCAAGTTGAAAAAATACTTTTTCAACTAAGAAGAGGATATCTATTTGTGCTATGTGTATCACCCACCAATGAATTCAAAACACTGCATGCCAGATTTCTTCACTAGACTAGAAAATAATATTGCAAACTATTCTCAACTTGGAAACA